AACACAAACAACTGATAAAATAATGTGAATTACCTGTTGCTGTATTTTAGCGCTCGATATAATGATGACATTCGGGGGGTCGCCCACAGGTGTGGCGGCGCCTCCGATGTTAGAGAATATAACCAGAGCTATGAGAACGTGTTTGGGATCCATGTTTTTAATTTCGCATAACCTGATGGTCACGGGAGTCATCAACAATATTGTGGTCACATTGTCTAAAAATGCCGATAAAACGCCAGTAAACGCGCATAACGTTAGTATTAGTGGCCACAACTGCCCTTTCGCCAAACGAAACGCCTAAACAATTTCATTATCAATTAAACAAACCGTTATTTTTAATTACATATACATTAAACTTTCTATAATTATCAAGATTAGTAATAAACTTGGTCCTAACTTCAAAGGGCCGCTAAATCAGCTAATTTCCTGCTTGAAAGTGATTTCAAATCAATGTTTTAATCAATTACTACTATTTTTTGCAGAAATATGTTTTTATTGTAAACATTTGTCTTAAGTCTGATTAAACACTATTGACGTAAATCTCAAATTCAAGAAAACAACGCAAATATTATTCAATTTTAAACAAATTAAAATTATGAAATAGTTTCGCAAACAATATTCTAATCACTGCTATTTATGAAGCGATCGGACATTCATTATACATGTATATGAATTAGTAATTACTGTATTTCATAATTAATTTAAATATTTTGTTTTGTTTGCGAAAATAAAGATTAATATTTTGTATAAATTCTTATCATCAGTTTTAGTGAGTCTTATGCGATACAATCAATTGGTATACAAGATGTAGGAAAATATATGAAAACTATTCTTAAAGCCTAATTTACAATCAATGTGAGTTGAGTTCCTACTATAAATATACATAAAGAAACGAAAAGTAACGAGAAGTAATGTCATGAATAAGTCATGAATTGTTGTGTAAAGTAATAGTGATCAATAATATCTTAATATTTTCCATTTAAATTATATACATTTGAAAATAAAAAACAATTCCTACCAAAACAGAGACATAATCAAAGAATCCGGTTTCGCAGAGAATGGCCACGAGAACCATCATTCCGAACAGAAGACATAGGGTCTCCACATCGAGCCATGAAACCACCTTTTCAAGCGATGGTCGCTATTAGACAATAAATAAAATAATGATCATTTTGTATATAAAATTATCAGATATTGTTAATTACATCTCTTATAAGCGTGAGGCAAGTGATGGCAGCGGTGGCGCCGATCATAGCGGCCAGCGTTCGGTTCACGACTTCGAAGATAATCAAAACGTACAGAAAGATAAGAACAGCCGAAGCCAATAGAATTCCGTCCAGTGATAGCTCGGAAAAGCCCGAAATATTGATTGATATTCCGGCCGATTCTTCCAGATTGGTCTCAATGCGGAGCTGATAGTGATCGTCGTCGTCGTAATGGTCCTCTTTATTGACCACAAATGTGTGCTCCACTTCATGACTGCCCACTTCTAGCGATAGAAAGTTGGGAGCGATGGGCGCAATCCACGGCCCTTTCATCACCGACTTTACGTTGTCTTCAGTGATCCTAATGATGGAGAAGCGGACCTCATAGTCGGTTAGGTTCGCGTATTCGTTCGACACGAACGTCGATCGAGCCTTCAGTTTCCATACGGGAAACATGAGGTCCAGACTCTCCGACAGGTCGACAAAAACGGGTGCATTTTGCTGAA